TAATTCCCCATCTCCCCTTTTTTATTTTTTTTTTCTAAGGGTAATTTTTAATAATAATAATAATAATAATAATAATAAATTAAAGCTTTGAAACTAACTAACTTTAATATTAATTAACATTTCAATTTAAAAAAAAATTATTTTTTTTTAAAAGTTTTATTTTTATTTTTTTGCTTCTGTTTTATTTTATTTTAAATAATAATAATAACGGGATGTAAAAATAATAATAATAATAATAATAATAATAATAATAATATTTAAAATTACGATACGAATCGACGACGTTAAAATATTTTAAAAAATTATTATTATTATTCTTTTTTTTTTTTTTTTGAGAAAAAAATTATGTCGGAAGAAGAAAAAGAAGAAGAAGACAATGAATAATCATATCGATAAATGTTTTGTTACATTTAAATAACAATGACCTCCTTTAAATTATCTATGACAAAAATGTTATTATTATTATTATTTCGCAAGGTTTTTTTTTTTAAAATTTACAATAAGATGTGGTGATGAAGAATAATTATTTTTCTTTTTTAATAAAATTCGCGTTGTTGAAATATTCACGGATTGAATTAGGAGTGGTCAATTTGATTCATTGACTTGATTTAACAACAAATATTAATTATTTTTTTATCAAGATGAATTTTATCGATTAAAATTTCAAATACATAAATTTATTGGATAAAAAAAAAAGTGAAAATAAATTTTTATATTTTTTTTTCCAGTTTATATAATAAAAAAAATTTTTTTTAAATAAAAAATCAATAATGAGAGGTATTTGTGTAGAACGCGTTACGTTATTTACGACGACTTTATACACACGTTTAATGAATTTAAAATAAAAAAAAAAAAAAAAGAATGATATAGTTTTGTATTTTTATCTATTCATTAATTCGGTCACTTTGAGTGTAAATGAAACCACCAAAACCAAAAAAAAAAAAAAAATTTTTTTTTTTTAAAATTTACCTTTCACCATTCACCGTAAAAAGAAATTTAAAAGTAATAAATAAATAATGTATTATTATTTTTTTTTTTTTTTTTTTTTTTTAGGATACAAAAATGGATATTACAGAAGGCCAAAAAGTCCAAACTTTAGCGGCGGTGGAAATGGAGGAGGCGGATATAACGAATACAAGAGAATATGTAGCGCTCTTAATCCGGATCCATATGCTTTTATTGGAAGCAATCCATATCCAGCTGTGCCATTTTGTCCCCCGTAATATTTTTTTTTTTTTGTTAAAATAAAACAATTACATAAATAAATTTTTTTTTCTTTTTTAAATAAGTTTACTTTTTTTGCGCCTGTAATTTTTTAAAATACTCTAACGTGTCTTTAAATCATTGCGTTTTGCCTAAATTAAAAAAGTCAGGGGAAACCAATTGATTAATTGGCTACATTGTATTTCCTATTATCATTTTTCTGTTTCTTCTTTTTTTTTTTTTATCAATATTTTATTTAAATACGTTATTTTATTTAATATTTAATTTAATTAAAAAAATGACTGACAGACAAACAGACAAAAAAAAGATTAAAAATTTTTTTAAAAAAAGGAAAGTAAAAGTAAATTCGTAGGTAGGACAAAAGCAGGGATTTTTTTTTTGATATTGAATACGAGAGATTATAATTAATAAAAAGAAAAAAAAAGAAAATTTAATTCAATGGAATAAAAATTATCGATTGATTGATTGATTCAATAGTAATTAAAAGCGTTAAAACAAGCATTATAAAATAAAATAAAAGCTTCCCTAATAGAGGTCAGCTTGCTAAAATTAAAAATTAAATAAACTAGGCTGGTTGTTATCAATACACTACCGGTCAAAAGGTCGCCTGTTATTAATAATATTCTGGTGGTTTAATCTCAAATTCAACGACCACCAGTCACGGATTAATACATAAAAATGTTAGCATAATTATTTGATATGTTAAGGCTTCAGAGTGTACCAAGGACAAAAGCCGCCCTTCAAAAGGGTGTTGCTGGACGAAAATACGCTTACGTAAGTGTTCCATTTGTGTAACATTTTATCGATTGCGAGTGAGAAAAACTCGTTCAAATATTTTTTAAAAATTTTCTCTTTAAGACAAAGGCAGATGTAAAAGGAAAAGTTATTGCCATTCGTAGAGAAGATCAATCTGTATGGGAACGGAGAGCAGCTTTTTCTCCAGCCAATGTTAGAAGGTTAACTAGAGCTGGGGTCAAGGTCATTGTACAACCTTCTAACAGACGAGCTTATCCCATGCAGGTGAAATTTATTATTATTATTATTAATGAAATTCAATTTTATTTTTATGTTTTTTTTTTTTTTTTTCGGAAATATTTTTATTATGTTTTTTTAGACTTATGCCAATGCGGGAGCTGTCATACAGGAAGATATATCTGAAGCCTCTACGATTTTTGGAGTCAAACAAGTTCCGGTTGATCAACTCCTACCGGAAAAAACATATTGTTTATTTTCTCATACCATAAAAGCACAAGAAGCGAATATGGCTTTGTTAGACGCCATTTTGGCTAAAGTAATTAAAAATTACAACCATTAAAAAAATTTTTTTAAATGAATGAATTTATTTATTTTTCGGCGGTTAATTTTTTTTTTTTCTTGTTTTTGTTTTAAATAGAAAATACGTTTAATCGATTATGAAAAGTTAATGGATGAAAAAGGTCAAAGAGTTGTGGCTTTTGGAAAATATGCGGGGGTTGCTGGTATGGTTAACATTTTACACGGTTTGGGACTTCGACTTTTGGCTCTCGGTCATCACACACCTTTTATGGTAAATTTTGGGGTTCGGGCATAAAATATTTTTAGAAATTGATATCTTTATTAATTATTATTATTATTATTTATCGAAGCACATAGGTCCGGCTCATAATTATAGAAATTCAATGATGGCGAGGCAAGCAATAAGAGATGCCGGATATGAAATTTCATTGGGTATGATGCCCAGATCGATCGGCCCTATAACTTTTGTATTTACCGGTTCGGGTAACGTGTCGCAAGGAGCTCAAGAAGTATTTCAAGAATTACCACACGAATATGTTCCACCGGAAATGTTAAAAAAAGTCGCCGAACATGGAGGTGAGTTAATTAATTGATCCTATAAATTTCTTTTTACAAGAAAATAAAAAAAAATTTTTTTTTGTCTACTCAGTACCGAACAAATTGTATTGCTGCGAAGTAAGAAGACGACACCATCTTGAAAGAAAAGAAGGTGGAGGTTTTGATTCTGACGAATACATTGAACATCCCGAACGTTACATTTCTACATTTAGCAAAAAGGTATTATTATTATTATTATTATTATTATTATTATTATTATTATTATTATTATTATTATTATTATTATTATTATTATTATTATTATTATTATTATTATTATTATTATTATTATTATTATTATTATTATTATTATTATTATTATTATTATTATTATTATTATTATTATTATTATTATTATTATTATTATTATTATTATTATTATTATTATTAATTCTAGCATTTGAACATATTTTTTTAAAATTTTAGATCGCGCCGTATGCTTCGGTTATAATCAATTGTATTTATTGGGCAGTTGATTCTCCAAAACTTTTAACAATTCCAGATGCCAAAACTCTTTTAAGACCTGCACATACACCATGGCTACCATCTTCGATAGGTAAATAAATCCTTTTAAATTTCGTAAAAAAAAAAAAAAATTTAAAACCTTCTTTCTTTTGTTAATTAGGAGCTCCTTCTTTACCACATAGAATGTTGGCAATTTGTGACATTTCCGCGGATCCGGGTGGTTCAATTGAATTTATGAATGAATGCACAACAATAGATACACCATTTTGTTTATACGATGCTGACAGAAACAAAGATACTAAAAGGTAAACACTAAAAGATAAAATAATTAATGATAATAAAAAAGTAAATTAAAAACTTTTTTTAAATGAATTCTCTTAACAATGTCAATTTCATTCAAGTGTAAAATTTAAACAAATAATTTTTTAATTTTTATTTCGTTTTTGTTTTTCTTTTTTTCTTTTAATAAACAATTAAACAATAAACAAATCAAAAGGTAATAATTTACTGCTAAACGTTTATTTTTATATTAGTTTCAAAGGACCTGGAGTTCTAGTATGTTCGATAGACAACATGCCGACGCAATTGCCAAGAGAATCCACGGATTTTTTTGGAAATCTTTTATATCCCTACGCATACGACATAATATGTTCGGATGCTAAAAAACCGTTGGAAGAACATTCGTTTTCTCAAGCCGTACACGGTGTAAGTTTTCTTATCAATGAATTGATAAAAACAAAACATGAAAATTGATAAGAAAATTTTCCTTTTTTTTCTCCAGGCAATCATAGCTAGCAATGGAGATTTGACACCGAATTTTCAATACATAAGAGATCTTAGAAATCAACAACAGTAAGTTTAATTTATTTTACATTAAATATTTTTCTTAAAAAATTTTATTCGTTATTATTATTATTATTATTATTATTATTATTATTATTATTATTATTATTATTATTATTATCTCATTTATACGAAGTACGATAATGAAATTTTTACAAACGAAATTAATTTCTTATAGTTTGGTGATAATAAATTTTAACGTTAACAAAAAAAAAAATAATAATATTAAGAAAAAAAATTTCATTAAAATTTTCGAGGAACATAAACACGCACGCACACACGCACACACGTTCAAACGAAAAAATTAATTTTGAAATTTTTGAATTTTACATATATAAATATAAAATTAGTTTTCTTGTTTTCGGGAAAAAAATTTTTTTCTCTTTTTTTTTTCTCTCTGTGTTCTGGATTCAATGTTTATAACTCAACGTCATAAACTTGTTTCCACGTTTTTTGTTTTTATTTAAATTTCTTTAATTATTTGTTGTTTGTTTGTTTGTTTGTTGTCGGAATCAAAAATATTATATTATATTTTCTTTAAAGTTTTTCCGTTGTAAGAATTTTCATCGTAAAATAACAAAAAAAAAAAAT